ACAGCTATTTTTAAAGAAGTAATTGCCTAAGGTACAATTTGGTGCCTGATCCTCAACTATTTCAATTTATTTTCAATGGAAATTTAGATGTCGACACATTAAAACATAGCTTTTGTAGTTCATCTCTTGCAGTTTGTGTTCCCTTTAGTGGTTTCTTCTCAGTCTTCATGTAGGTTTGTCACTAAGTTGACTACTACTCCTTGTAGCTTGGTAGCCAGCTGCAGGTGTTGTAGTTTAAAAATTCTTCCTGCAGCTGCTGTATTCACAGCCTACATCTAAAGTAATTCTTTTTAAACTTCCTTCTTTCAGAATTATAAGGCAGACGGGAATGTGAGAGAAAAGTAGAACCATGTCTTTTGGAGGGCGTTAGCTCCTCTTCCATGTTCTTTCTATTATTGGTGCTTATGCTCTTTATGTCTGATTCTTTTTTGCCTCTTTGTTTTTTATTTCCTTCCTCTCTCTCCCACCTCCACCTCTGGAGGATTATAGGAAGCAGGAACACTCAGCATTGGAGTCATGTATAAATCCACTGATTTATAAACAAGTTGGGTAAGCCATGGAGCTCATTTTACAACAGAGATGTTACTTTGATTTTATAAGTATTAAAAGAAGAATGTAAAAATCATTTTATAATGTTCCAGGGGAGAAAGAGCCTAAAATTCATCAAGACTCTTTCCCATTCTCCCATGAACTTAATATTATAATTACACACTCTAATAGGCCTCCCCAAGGTTATATGTCAATCTGCTGAAGAACAGACTCTAAAACTGCCCATTTGGACTCATATATTAGATATGTACGTGACATCACTGCATCTCTTTGGGCCTCAGCCCTCATGTGATTAGCCCCTGGGGCAATCCAAAGAACATTTACAGGGTCTCTGCAGTGAGTCAGTTTTGCAGAATAGTGGTGAGTTACCATCCTCTGTCTCCTTTGACCCTCCTCCCTCTTTCTTGGCTCCCCTGCAGTGCCAAGCAAGTGTGCTCAGTGCATGGTGCCTTAGCAAGTATAAGTTAACAGAAAATCAGTTAGCAAGTACAGCAAAGGGTATAATTGCCCAGAGATGGGCTGCTCTCTTGTGCTGTACTGTCACCACTTGCCTCCTGGGTCTCAGGCTGGGACAGTATTCATCTCACCTTCAGAGAACCTGTAGCCCTTATAGCTGTTGTCTGCTGAGCCAGCTCACCAGGCAGAAATCTCACCAGCAGGCAAGATCCAGACTGGATTCCTTTTCCTGACAGTTGCTGCCTTTCTCCCTCCCTTCCAAGCTGTCCTCTATTCTATTTTCCTTTCCTCCCTCCCTTTCTTCCTTCTCCCCTCTTTCAGAATTATAAGGCAGAAGAGAATGTGAGAGAAAAGTAGAACCATGTCTTTCAGAGGGTGTTAGCTTTTGTTAGCCTTTCCTTCCTTCCTCCCCTCCTTCCTTCCTCTTTCCTTTTCAACTAGTTCACAACATTCTTTTCTTGTATCACTTCCCATGTGATGGCCAAGGGTTTGTTCAGTGTCTTATGGCCCCTGTGATAACAGAGATATTGGACGGTGTGTACCAAGCTGTGATCTATCAAATACAAGCCCTCCAAAATGTTCTGTGTAGGAAGACTCTGGGGCTAAATATTAATAACTTTGGATTCCTAAATAGCTTTGGGAAGTGGTAAGCCCCTTTTCCATAAGAAAGTCTTAGAGAAGTCCTAAGAACTTTGGACTTCTCTAAAAATTGAAAAACCCTTGAAACTGTTTCTTTTCAAGCTCCCTAAACTTTTCCCTAAGGAGCCCTCGTTCTGAGTAGCAGCCCCTGGGTTATTGTAGAACCTGCTGTTGGAAACTTCACACTTGACACTCTCTGAGGCTGATTGCAGATCTAGAGCTCTAGTTCATTCATTCACTGACACTTCCCTTGAAAGGCACATGGACCTAACATGGCTGGAATGAGGTGCCAGACAAGCAACTTTCAATGGAGGAAGATAGGGGATGGCACTCAGGGTGGTGACAAATCCTTGATGGCTGCAAAACCCTGGGGAGCTAAGCCTTGAAGGTGGGTAGATGAGGGACAGGGGAGGGAGTGGGCAATGACAAACTATGCCCAATTGATCTTTTGGCGTGTGGCCCTAACTATAGCAGTGATGGCTTTCAAAAGCATTATCCAGCAGGTCTTACTCATTGAAAAATGCGTTCTGAGATTAATAAGCAGGATGGAGAGGACCAGGCAAGTTAATTCTGTGGTACAAACATGCTATGCCATTAGCTTTCCTCTCCCATAACTGAAAGAAAATCTTCAGCAATCTGTCCAGTGGAATAGGAAAGCCATGTAATCAGGATTAGCTTTGAGCTTACACGTCTGTAATAAATGAAGGCTCTGTAGGTGAGAATTTTCATGTAACACTTTTAATTAAGATCGCTGCAGGGGAATGGAAAGGACCCCTTAGTAAGTGATGTTAATGAATGGATGACAGCCTTCTTCTCTCCTGGGGAAAATGAGGCTCAGCCTCTAATTGGTGTAATTAGCACTGAAAGTTAAAATATATCCCTTTTCTCTCCTTTCTTCAACTTTAGAACACCTGGGTTCTTTGTTTTTGATTAATTGGTGCCTCCTCTTTCTTTTATGAAAGTTCAAGTTGCTTTGGGGTCTTGCCTGAACCTCCTTTTCAGATGGAAATTGGGAGCCTAAATTCTATTCTTAAGGGCTGCATGGCCTGGTCCTGACTCAAGCTAGGAGTCAAGAATTAATCTCTGACTCTTTCAAAACGCTTGCTAGGATTGGTTCAAATGTGTTTTTAGGACGTTCTCTCATCTTTTTAAAAGAAGGCAACCCAAACAGAGCAGAAGAATAAGGAGTGTATTGCTATGGAATTAATTGAATGAAAATTTTATTTCCTACTATACTTATTGAAGGAGAAAAGAAAATATCCTCCCAAATAGAAATAAAGAGGAAACAATGACCTAGAATGTAATTTAAAATAATTGAGGAAAAATAGTCACCCAGAGAGATTCTCCAAGAAGCAGATCTCCCTGATACAGATGGCTCCATCCTCTTCTTGCTGCTGCTTTGTGAAGCAGGAGAGTATGCAGGAAAACCATCTCAGGGGCTAGAAGCTTGGAGAAGCCTCTGGCTTAGCTCTGTGAGCAGTGTGAGAAGACACTTTGTGATCCATGTGGAAAGGTGCTCCACGGGGCTTTACATGCCAGATTGGTTTAAAGTTCAAAAGCTGAAACAAGCTTCTCTGAGAAGTTCCAACTCCAGTAGGTTTGAGAGTGAGTTCTTTCAAAGGTGCTCTATTAAAATTTGGGGGCATGGATCACATGAAGCATTAATGGGCAGATCCTTTATATATTATTGAGAAGCAGTTGGCTCCAGAGTGTTTTATTTCTTCAAATATTATCCTAATCTCCTTAAATATGGTAATGGGTAAGTCTGGGTAACATTTTTGTTTCCCTAATTGTGAGTGCTACTTTTTAACTAATAATATAATTTCACTTGCATCTGTGTCTGGTGGAAGTATTAACTGATGGGGTTACCAAGTCATGATTGAGAAGGCTCTCTCCACCTTAAGCCAGTTGCAAACCTTGGTTGCACAATATAGTCACCTGGGGATCTTTGAAAAATCCCAATGTCCAGGCCACACTCCCAGACCAGTTAAAACAGAATCTAGTGAGTGAGACCCAGGCATCGGTATTTTTAAAAGCTCCTCAGGTGATTCCAGTGTGAAGGGTTGACAGCCACTGACGTAGTGGAAATAAACATACTCTGCAGGGCTGGTGGACCTGATATGTGATAATGCGCATTATTAAAAAGCCATCTCTCTGCCCAGCACCCTCTCCTGGTCTTCCAAAGGCTCCAATGGTCCCAAATGGGGCTAAAAGCTCAGGGTGCTTTCTGCCTTCCTTCCAGTGGTGTTTAATGACCAGATGAATGTTTAGCGACCCACTCCCTGAAATTAAAAAAAGCCCTGGTTTGTAGCGTATGCTGATTTCCAGAGTCTGTAAACTCCCACCCTAGTCAATTTCACCTACTGAGTTGCTGTCACTCAGCTTGGAGTTGGAGGAGATGTGCACAGACAACTCTAGAGACCAGTGCCTCCTTCCCAGCTCCAGATTTTCTCACCTTTCCTCTGTGTCCACCCCCAAGTAGCTCATTTTCCCTTGGAGGGTGGTCTGGGTTTTGAGCCACCTAGAAAACACTCCTCTGCTTGTATGATACACTGGCTTATCCTGCTCAGGTATGATCATACCTCCTCCTGATTAAAGAGTATAAGGGACCTCTGGAAAACACCAAGGGAACGTGCCTAAGACTGGGGATATTTGGGTAATTGGAGTTCTGGGTTATACTTTACCCTGTGAACCTGACTAAGGTGAGTTGTTCTATATACAGCTCTAGGTGCCTGAGCTGACGTATGAGGTTTCTGAGCCTACAGAGCTGAGGGCCCAGCTATGAATCAGGATAAACTTACTAAAGCAACATGGGGGCTTCATGGGAGGCTGCTTGCCAGCCTTACAGGCTGTGTGCCCCTATGTCTCTTTCCCCTTCATTACAAAGCACTTTCACTTGACTTTCTCTCTGAATTGCTGCAGTATACATAGGAAGACTGAGAAGATACTATCTTCCATGTGCTTAAGCTCAGAGAGGTCAATGGAGTGATTCACCCAAGTTTGAAGAGCTCGCCCAAGCTAGTAGGTGAGGGAGCCAAGACTTGAACCAAGAGCTCTGACTCCAGCTTTACACATACAGCTCCCAACACACAGCCTGGATCTATCAGTCAGCTCACCCAGGCATGGGGCCAGTCACCTTAGAGGAGGAAGTGAGATGAAAAATAACAGATTTTCTGCTTTCCAGTCTTGTGAACTAATTCCTTGCCAGTCTTGCTTTGGAAAGCATGTTTTCTGAAAGATACCATGGGTTCTATGGTCTAACAAAGAACATATTCCAACTTGATAAATACGAAGTTGGATGAATATGAATGCCTCATGCAATAAGAATGGCTGATGAGTTGTGATTCCAAAAACAGAGTCAGAAGCAACCTCTGTCAAGATCACATCAAATCCAGAAGACATCTGGGACTCTAAGAAGTGGCTGCAGAAATATGGCTTGAAGGCCCAGAAGCTGTCATTTTATGATGTCCTTGCAGATTGCTCCTTCCGCCACGCCGATGGAGTTGTTGATATAAAAGCCAAACCAGAAAATGAGTCCGTGCAGACCAGTGCGGTAGGTGAAGTGAACTCCTGGGAAGGGCTGTGGACTCCCCTTGAGCCCTGGTGTATGAGGCCTCCCTCAGATCAGAAGCCAAGGGCAGGACTACAGTGGAGAGACAGCAGGGAGGGAAACCAGCTTGAGTTTCCAGGAAGAAAGGGGTCCCTTCTTCTTTCCACCTTTCCCTTCTCCAGAGGGTACCTGTGGGAGTGGAGATAAAGGCTGGGAATGATTTCTAGATGTAAGGGCCAGGGCCTGGGCTTGTACAAATCAGGCATTATGAGTCTCAGAATTATTCCACATTATGCAAACAGAGAAGCCTTGTTCTTCCATATTGAATGGAAGACATGCCCAAGCAGGCATTTCTGTTGTCCTCTTGTATTTTCACAGCCTTAGAGATGCATTAGTCCAGCAGCTACCAGTTAGCATATAGTGGAGTCCCAGTAATTATAAAATCAGATTCTTTATAGGGTTGTGGCACCAGGTGGTTGTCCACTGAAAGCTTTGAAAGCTGTATTTCCATTGTGCCAAATGGGTTTCATGGGAATACAGCTTCTAATAGTGCCTGACTCTGGCCACTGATGGAAGGACAGTGCTCACTAGCAGTGGCTCCTAACCTCCAATCTCCTGCGTAAGAGTGAGGAGGTCTGAGGTGTGGCACAAGAATTTGCATCCATAACAATCCCCAGATGACATTGAAGCTGCTGGTTTGGGGGCCACACTTTGAGAACCAGTGAGATGTAGAACAGGAACCAGAGGCTTGATGTCAACAGTTTAGAAGTGTAAAAAGACTAGGAAGTGTCACAATAGAAACAAAATTTGGATAAAATGAATATTGCAGATTTTTTAAAACGAAAGGTCTTTTAGGAGGTGGTAAGTCTCAGGTGTACTATGAAGTGAAAGCTAAAATGCAAGCCTCAGGCAGACAGGCTGGTAACCGAGGCCCAGTGGAGACATTGGGAGAGGAATTCAAGGCCCTCCTCAAATACAAGGTCTCCTTATGTGTTCTTGAAGGCTCTGAATCAATGATAAGATCATTATTGAGACATTTGTAGCTTCAGCAGTGGTGGGACTCTAGACCCTTTGACACTTGTCGTTAGACTGGTGACCAGTGAGCTTCACATGCCTTCCCCCGGAAGGGTGCTCTTCTTTGGGGCTGCATTAGCCATACCATGTTGTGTTGTTGCCCTTTTATTGCTGCATGTTTATGCTGAACTGCAAGGAGGAAAATATAAAAATTGAATTAGAACAATGCAGAATTGACGCAAGACTTGTTTCCGGGCTTATCCTAGGAGGCAGAGTAATTGCTACAGTGCAGGGAAAATCTCATTTGTGGGTTTCCTCCCCCAGCACACTTCTCTGGTTGTGTAGACATTCAGTAATGCTCAGGAAATCATGCATAACTGAATTTTCATTTAAAAAAACATTAGACTCTGGATATTTAAAAATATGAATCCCTGTTGATTTGAACATGAGCTCATGACAATGTATTATGCTCAAGCTAGCTCTAATAGTGATTTCTCCTTACTCTTTCTTAGAAATGTTATTAATGAATGAAATTTTACAGAACCAGTTTGAAAAATTTGGCTTATAAAATGGGAATTTTACTTCAAATTTCTTGTGCTAACCAGAAATAAAATGGTAAAGGTTGAGAATTATATAGTATAGCTATCCTCTTTCACAAATATAGATGAAAAAGGGACAATTTTATTTTTAGTATTTGGGACTACATATCTGAAACTGGATTTACACCTAAAATTGTGATGTGTATAAAGTAGGGAGAAACTGAGGCTATGAAATAAGGCAGTTATTTAGGGTTCCCTCAGACTCCCACTGGGCAGGACCCCTAAACATTTGACTATAAAAATCAGTTGATAGGTAGAGATACGGGAAACTCATTTACACTGAGAAATAAATGACAAAAAAGGTCTTGCTATGTAGCAGTTCAAAGATGAATGAACAGGTGGAAGGAGACAAAAATGTATTTCTAATTAGAGAATTTCAGTCAAAGTCCAGTAATTTGATATTTGGGGCACCCCTGAAGTCACATTGCATGCATGATTGCTTGCTGCTTGTTCATAAAACCAGCCCTGATGTCTCAAAACCCATCTTGTCTCATCATTTATTCCTCTAACAAATACTTATTGAGCTTCTACTATGTTCCAGGCAGTGTGGTGTGGGGGAAGTTACAATGGATCTGGAGTGAGAAGACCTGGGTGTAAATGCTACTTCTACCAGTTACTAATTATGAGACATTGGACAAATAATGTCACCTCTTTGAGCCTCACTTTCTAGATCTGTAAAATGGGTGGTGTAAATGTGGGGGATGCCCAATAGATGTTACCTTCCTTCTGTTCTGTGTTATAAACATTGTGAGTCAGAAACAGCATTTATGGAATATCTTTATGCTTTATGTACAAGGTGAACATTTATGCTCTCATTTTACATAGGAAAAAAATAGAGTCACAGGATGCTGGAGAGACTAGGTAACTAACTTGTGATTGATCTCATGGCAGGTGGAGACAGGATTTGAATTCGGGTCCACTGGGCTCTCACACTCTGTTTCTCCCATTGTGACACACTGCCACCTCCCACAAAACCTGCCTTTATGTGGTTTGTGGTCTGGTGTTTTTCCATTTGGCTGTGTGTAAGGTACACTCAGGAGATGTTGTGTGATGAGACTGAGAATAGGGAGAACCATTTTGGTGACAACCCTAGAAATGTGGTGAGAACAAGGGAGAAGACACCTTTCTCCTGTCCTTGCCCTGTGAAAGAGGTGTGCTTCCCTTCTCCACCTGCCTTGGTAGCATAGGACTGATTTCATCATGCCCTCTGACCCCATTCTCATCAGTCATCACCAGACTCCTGAATTCTTACCCTGTGTGGCTCTGAGCATCCCTTCTCTGACCTCTTCCACTTTTACTTGACTCCTAAAATCACTCTACTCTGCCCTCTGGAACTTGAAGTCATCAGCAAACCCCTAAGGGCTTCCAGTCCTCTAACATGTTCCCTTGCTTGCCTGTCTGGATTCCCTTCAACCCTTTGGAGTGGAGGCTGGTTCTCCCCCTTTCCAGTTGGAACCGTGGGCCCAGGGCTGGGTGGTGGCCTCCTCTCTATTCCCAAGTGAGCAGACTGATCTCACTACACCTCCTCATGTCTGTCACTTACCCAGCCCAAGATCACCCCCATCAGTCCTTAAAGATGACAGCTCTGCTCTTACAATCACTGGCTCCAACCTGTTTTAATTCTTAGATATTTCAATCCCACGTAGATGACCCTTCCAGTCCCTGGACCTTTCATTTCTTTGATCTCCTTTTCTCCTCCCCCATATCTCTGCCTCTCCTGCCTGAGGCATACCCTGACCATGTCATTACAAATAACCATATAATCATAAGCCACATCCTCAATGTCCAATGTCCCTGTCTCTGACAACTTACTTGTAGGCCATTTCCTCTGCTGCCCTAACTCCACCAATCCATCCATCCCACTGGGATATGCACGTTACTGTTTCTACAACCTTTCCTCTGTCCTCTCCATCCATTTCTCCTTCCCATGCATCCTCAACCAATTTACACTATTGCACTCAGCTGGCAAAACTCTTGGTTTGCCGGATTTAACCCTGGTTAAATCCAACTTTCTGCTTTGCAGTTGTGCAGTTGACTGCACTGGTGGAAACTGAAGGAAGCACACAGCCCTGAGGCCTGGTTTCACTTTATTTTTTATATTTTTTTATTTCAGAATATTACAGGGGTACAAACATTTAGGTTATATATATTGCCTTTGCACTGCCTGAGTCAGAGCTATAAGCGTGCCCATCCCCCAGACTGTGCGCACTCATTAGATATGAATTTACCCATGCCATCCTCCCCCTCCCACTTTCCCAACACCCAATTAATATTACTACTATATGTGCACATAAGTATTGATCAGTTAATACCAATTTGATGGTGAGTACATGTGGTGCTTATTCTTCCATTCTTGTGATACTTCACTTAGTAGAATGGGCTCCAGCTCTATCCAGGATAATACAAGAGGTACTATATCACCATTGTTTTTTGTGGCTGAGTAGAACTCCATAATATACATATACCACACTTTATTGATCCACTCATGTATTGATGGGCACTTGGGTTGTTTCCACAGCTTTGCAATTGTGAATTGTTCTGCTACAAAAATTTGAGTGCAGATGTCTTTATTATATGATGTCTTTTTTTCCTTTGGGTAGATGCCCAGTAGTGGGATTGCTGGATCAAATGGTAGTTCTACTTTTGGTTCTTTGAGGTATCTCCATATTACTTTCCATAAAGGCTGTACTAGTTTGTATTCCCACCAGCAGCATATGAGTGTTCCTATATCTTCACATCCATGCCAACATTTATTGTTTTGGGACTTTTTGATAAAAGTGATTCTCACTGGAGTTAAATGATATCTCATTGTGGTTTTGATTTGCATTTCCCTGATGATTAGAGATATTAAGCATTTTTTCATATGTTTCTTAGCCATTAGTCTATCTTCATTTGAAAAGTTTTTGTTCATGTCCTTTGCCCACTTTTTAATGGGGTTGTTTGATTTTTTCTTGCTGATTTTCCTGTGTTCTATATAGCTTCCAGTTGTCAGCTGTTTATCAGATATACAGCATGAAGATATTTTCTCTCATCTGTAAATTGTCTATTCACTCTAATGACAGTTTCGTTGGCTGTCCAAAAGCTTTTCAATTTGATCAAGTCCCATTTATTTTTGTTGTTGCTGTGATTGCTTTTGGGGTCTTCTTCATAAATTCTTTGCCTAGGCCAATGTCTGTTAGAGTTTTTCCAACATTTTCTTCTAGAATTCTTATGGTTTTATGCCTTAGGTTTAAGTTTGTTATCCATCATGATTTGTTTTTTGTGAGAGGTGAGAGATGTGGATCCTGTTTCAGTCGTCTACATGTGGCTATCCAATTTTCCCAACACTATTTATTTTTTATTTTTTTTATTTTATTTTTTTTTTTTTTGAGACAGAGTCTCGCTTTCTTG